CCTAGCCGTTATATACCAGTAGAGACATCTAATATCCCTAAAGGAGTTGGCAGGAGACCACTTCATTGCTATCGTTGTAGACAAATTGAACATTATGTAAGTGAATGTCCTAATCCAAGGGCCAGTGATGACTATGCTCCAATATGTGGAAATTGTAAGCAGTTTGGTCATACTTATCAGCAGTGCAATACGCCCTTTAATTATAATAATCTGGACCAATAAATGCAAACAAGTCAACCGACGGAGGACAAAGGTCTTGTTCAACGAGACTCACCAGTACATCGTGTTGACGTGGTGAACGCACTGCTTATCAGAGGCCAACAAAAAGACAAGAATCCAATTCAAGACCTGGATGAACCAATCGCAGGAGAGCAAGTAGCGCCGTCCATGGGGCTAAACGAACCAATATCAATATTGGAACGTATCCCAATATTGAGACCTCAACAGACTGAAGAATCCAATTCGATTCTACGTGCGAATTTATTAGGACCATCAAGAACAATCCCAACTGACTAACTACCAATACCTATACAGCCCAATAAAAGTTCTTACACATTAAAGGAATCTTTAGTAGTAAAAAATTTGGTAAAGTTACCAGCGGCAATCCCAATCGCCAGGAAGGAATTGCTGCCAAACGGAGTAAAATCGAAACCAATAAAACGTAAAAGAGCATTGAGAATTACTCTCAATATGGAATCCTACGACATTCTAAAGGATTTGGATGTTATTCAGCCTCCAATTACAATGAAGCAACTTTTGGCAGTAGCACCGAAATGTCGATCTACATTGAATTCAGCGCTAATATGACGAAGATTCCACACTAAAAAAATTCACGAAGTTAGCTTAAATCTAGATCCGGGAGTACCAACAATCGATGTATCAATCGATGGCATTTTAATTCTAGGGATATAAGTCGATGGTGGCTCCAGTGTCAATTTAATGAACGCTGATACAATGGATGCTTTAGATTTGGAACACTTAGTACCCACGACATTGGTATTACGGATGGCAGATCATAGCCGGGTTAAACCAATGGGTATCTTACGGAGTGTTCAAACTATGATTGTCGGTATTGCATATGAAATTGACTATATCATCTTTTGGTTAAAACGTTCGACTTTATCGTATCCAATTTTATTGGGACGACCCTGGCTTTATCAAGCAAAGGCCAAGAATGATTGGGGTCGGGGTACTTTGACAATTGGCAAGGACGAAGACAAAATGGTGTTACAAATGTACTCAGTATACTATCACAGGGAATCTCAATTGCCAGCTTTTGAATTAACGTCGGACAATGAGCTTAGCTTCGATGACGATGTAATAGCACCAATTGCGGAGGCGCCCGTAGAGGCAGCACTATATCCTGGAGTGGTGTACCAATGTGGAGGTCCAAGAGAGTACTTGATATATCCGACGGACTCTAAAAACTCGGATTATGTTAATATTGATTAGATGACCAAGTATAATGTGCACCATGTTAGTGCCCTGAATATAGGATTTAGTACTTCATACATGTCAAAGTTACCGACTGACTTTAAACCAGTACAGGGTTGAAACAGAATATCGCCATTGCACCTTTATGTCAAACTATCAACTTGGCGACCATAGGAGAACCTCGGACAATTAAGGTCTACGAAGATATTAGGGAACAAGAGTTGACCTGCTAGACTGAACTTTTCTTACATCATAAATCCACTTTTGCTTGGACTTATGATGATTTAAAAGGTATTCCCACTGAAGTCTGTGAGCATCATATCGTTTTAGAGGAGAACGCTAAATCGGTACGGTAGAGGCAACATCGCCTTAATCCTAAATATTCCCTCATGGTGAAGGAGGAATTGGACAAGCTTCTTGTGGTTGGTTTTATTTACCTAGTACCAAATAGTGAGTGGGTTTCTCCAATCGTGATGGTGTCGAAAAAGAATGGGAAAATTTGAATTTGTCAGGATTTCTTGAAACTTAATATGGCTTAAAAAATAATTATATTTTTAACTTAATACGGTTTATTCCCATTAGATTAATTTGGAATAAGTAAAACGAGTAATCACACATAAGCAAGAATTAGATCTCCTTTACTCTTATCAATACATATCTTATGTTTTATTAAGTTCAAGTCTTTGTAGTCATTTTACATTTAGCAATAGCCACTTCAGTTTTAATTTTATATTTATCTTTTAGTTTTTTTTTTCTTTTGATAATATAATATTATATTATTATTTTTAGAATTTTATTATAATTTATGTCTTCAAAAATATGTCTATAAGACATATTTAAAGAAAAATCGTTGAAATTATGGATCAATGGTCAAAAAAACATATAGGAACAAGTTGTAGAATTTATAATGGATATATTAATTTATCAATCTTTAATAAAAGTAGGTAAAGAAAATTTTATAAGAGTACATGATAAATTACAAAATATGAGTAGAAATATTGTTGAAATTAACATAGAGTATAAATACAGACAAATGTAAAATTAAAATTTAGATGCATTTCATGGATTATTAAAAAAAAAAAAAAAAAAAAAAAATACTTCACTATTATCTAAACAATGCTTATAAAATTGATTAGAATAAAACATAAAAAAATATTTAAATTTTTGAATTATTTTTATATTATTTAAATTTTATTATATTTTTTAGATATATATTAATATAAAGTTATTATTTAATGAAAATAATTTTATTAAGTAATTAAATTTATGCATATATAAAATATACTACTAATATTGAAATTCTAATTTTTTTTTAATTTGATTGTATTGGTCTATGGTTGCATGAATTATTTTACAACAATCTAAATAACAATATTTTTGGTGAAATGAAAAGTACTTGCTTTACATCAACTCAATTTTTAAGTTGTAATATTGGTATTCTTGCTTCAAAGATTTTTGTAAAGAAAAAAAGCATATTTATATAATTATAAAAAAATTCATAACATTAAATGTTTTCTATTAGATATGTCATATAGATCCACATTAGAAGAAGAATTGGTAGACAAAGAAATTGTTCTTTTATATAACACTTTTCAAGTTTATTCTTTAAGATTGCTATATTATTGGAATTTAATTTAGAAAGATGTTCAAAATTTATCATGCTACTAAATAAAATAGTGTACATGACTTCTTTGAAAATATTTAATTTGAAGGATTGTAGAAAATTAAAATCATTATCAATATCTAGAATTAGTCTCTTTTCTTTAAAAATCTTAATATTAGCAAGTGCTCAAGTTTGGCATTATTTCCAAATGAATTGGACAACCTTATATCTTTACTACCTTTAATATAAACTAATGTTCAAGCTTGACATCATTGCCAAATAAGTTGAACAACTTGACAATTTTTAATACCTTTGATCTTAGCAATTGTTCAAAATTGATACTATTGCCAAATGAATTGGGCAACCTCACATCTTTGACTACATTTTATTTAATAAAATGCTTAAGTTTGATATTATTGCCAAAAGAACTTGACAATTTTAAATCTTTTGTTATTTTTTATATGAGACAATATTCAAGCTTAACATCATTGTTAAATAAATTAGTCAATCTCAAATCTTTTATTACTTTTAATTTCGATGGATGTTCAAGCTTGACATCTTTATTAAATGAATTAGACAACTTCATATCTTTAACTATCTTGGATTTTAGCAACTACTGAAGGTTGGCATCATTACCAACTAAATTAGATGCTTCCACATCTTTGAGTACCTTTGATATTAGTAAGTACTCAAGTTTGACATCATTGCTAAATGAATTAGACCTCACATCTTTGACTACACTTAATTTATAGGAATACTCAAGCTTGATATTATTACTAAATAAATTAAGTAACTTTGCATCTTTAATTACCTTTAATATAAGAAGATACTCAAGCTTAATATTATTGTGAAACAAATTAAAAAATCTCATATTTTTTACTACCTTTATAACAAGTGATTAAGCTTGATATCATTGCCAAATGAATTCTGAAACCTTACATCTTTGATTACTGTTGAAACAAGTAGATGCTCAAGCTTGGCATCATTACCAAATGAATTAGGCAACTTTACATCATTGACTACCATTAATATTAGGCAATTTTATATCTTTGACAACTTTCACTATAAGAGTTAGAAAAAATAATTAAAAACTATCTTTATTAACAACATTAAGCTACATCTTTGATTTTACTTGATTCTATCTAATTGTAGTATTCTAAATTTAGATTTATATCATTTTTAATTATATATATTATTTTGGATTTTTTAAAATTCTAAAACTTATTTAGAATTTACCAGTATAATAGATTAGTATATTTGTTTGTTGTTCTAAACTAGTTTATTATTATATTGGTAGTAAGTCTTAATTGGATTATATTTTATATTAGAAGTTATATTGATGATGATACATAACATCTTCATAGAAATAATTAATTAATAATAATACTATATTTGTATAGTATTTTATTATAATAGAAATTTTCACATAAAAAGTAAAAAGACCTTATTATTTAATTAGTGTTGGAATACCACCAATTGAAAATTTTAAGACTATTTTATAGAAAATAAAAACCTAAGAATTGATAAGAGTGTACATAGAACTAAATCTTTGTAGATGCATAGAAATAATTAGATAATGAGTTGAATGAAGTTGAAGAGATAAATACATTATTATAAACTATGGATGAAAAAATAATAATGATATCAAAGAAAGGGATTAAGAAGTTTGACAAGTGATACAATTATACTTTAGTTATAATTTTTTAAAATGTTTAATTATATCTTAATATATAACATCTATAATTAAAATTAATCATCATAAATTCTTCATAGATTATACTCCATTGTAATTTTTATTTTTTCCAGTTTCTTGACATAAAAACATTACCAAAAAAATCAAAACTAAAACATTTTGTTTGAGACAAACTAGTAATTCAGACATGCATTTCACATTGCTATGGACACAAGGGTTTTTTAATTTTACTGAACCTGATCACACATATGATAACTTATAAGGAGAGAATTAAGTTTTAAGGAAGTTCTGATGAGACAAATCAATTTTTTCTGAAAAAATGACACATTTCTTCCAGTACAGGCATTTCATTTGACACCATGACATGGGGTCAGAATCCAACAATTTACAGTGACTAAATAATCACCAACCCCTCTAATAAACTCATCCCGAAACTAACAAGGTCCGAGAAAAATACCATCTGCAACTCTTTACTTCACAACCGTACAACTACATACAACTATGTACAGAAGGAAAGAAAATTTTCATGATTCAAAATTGATGGGACCAAATATATCCTCCTTGGCAGAAGCTGATAAAGTATACGGCTTCCGTTCCTCATTGCTTGCATATATGCCACACAGATACTCCAATGCAACAGTCAATGCACAATGCAGTGAAGGCAGGTGTCCTTTGCGCAAAGTCATTACTGCATGCTCATGGTTCACAGCATAGAGGGCAGAGGCTTCCTCCCACATTTGAGTAATCGACTTGTTTGTTCCTTGTAATATCTGCGCGGTAGACAGTAGTGAGTCAGCTCAAAGTTTCGTGCTTCAACGTTGCTTAACTGACAAATTACGACTGAATGAAGGCGTCATCCCGAAATTCAATTCCCTTTTCACTATTCTCATTTATCATATAAGTTCACAGCGATCTAGTCTACCCTTAAACAATCGTAGCTAAAGAAGCAAAAAAATACTGTGAAGCATTAATCGGATGAAAAACCTCTTGATAATAAGCAATAACTCGATCTTCCTCATGGTTCTTGATCGCAGCCTTTATGTCTTTGTTGTACTGCTGAAGGAGCCCCCGCCATCTCTCCATGTATCTGTCAAACCTCCCATACTCGAATTTGGGATCATATGCAATAGTTTCTGTTAAGCATACAAAAAACAAAAAGTTAGACAAGTGCGACATGCTTGGACTACACATGCAACAAGGGAAGAAATTCCACAATAAGCTTGTAAATAAAGAGAAACTTGCTTAATTCTCCATAAAAACAATCAATACTGTAGAATATTGCGCTGATAATGCCTTCATGTATCAACGGGCTAATTTACGACTTCCGTAGAGTACTGTAGTATAAGATGAACATGTTAACTCTTCTAGCATTGCCAACTTGATAAAGTTTTTGAGTGCCAAAAGACATACCTTCAGGTTTGCAACCAATGCCGTCAACATTTCTGACAACCATATCATATATTTGACCAAGTATGCTAGTGGAAGTATAATAGGTTCTGTTGGTCTGAATCTCCTTCAGGAAGTGCGGAAAGCAATCCGGTTCCAACCTTCTAGGTAACTTGACCTGAATTGAGCATGAATTATTCTTAAAAACAACCAAGGTATAGTTGACTGATTCTGAAGGGTCTGAAGTTCGCATTGATAGGCACCGCCTGGCTTACAGTAATCCATTTCAATACTACTGTGATGAACTAACTTCATGAACTGTAATCAAAGAGCCCAACAGAAGGAGAGAGAGAGAGAGAGAGAGAGAGAGGGGAGAATACATACAGACATCCAAGCAAATGTATGTCGATGTAGACAGAGCTCTTCACCGGTTTTATCAGCATCCAAGGCTCTGTAAAATATATCTATCAATTCCTCAAGTGATTCGGATATCAGTTCCAACTCGTCTGAATACTCATCCGCGTCTTTAAGTGACAAGTACCGATCCATATGTGCTGTCCAAAATATACCCGCTTGCGACATAGGCTTACTGAGGAATCATCCAGCCAGCACGATTAGACCATCATGTTCGTGTTTGCTCGAGAGGTAACTTCGTAAGCCAGCCCGCAAGAGGTCAATTATATGACTACTAAATTCAAAATCCAGCATAGAATTTTCATTCAAAAAGGTTCAGAGTTTCTTACTAAGGTGTGAAACGACTCTTCAAGAATTTGTCAAACAGCGTATATTCAAGAGCTCTGGATGTGAGGTTGCTGGGGCCATCCCCAATGGGATAATTTATTTTCTCTCCTATTCTCTTCCAAGGTAGGCTAGGAGTGAACAAAGAGATCAACTGCAGAAAATTCAAACTCTGAGCTTTCAAAATATGACATTTGAGAACGACGATCTCAAAAACATTTTGCAACTAATAGTTCAATCCATTCAATAATTCATCGTGTCCATTTGTGATGTAGAAGTCAGGACGGAACACCACTTGCCTGTGCATTGGAGCAAACCCAAAAGAGGTCGCCGCAAAGGTCACTGTTGGCAATTTCATCTACAACCGGCCGATTACCTCGAACAGAAAAGAAGATGGCGTGCTTAGTAGGGCCCACATAAGGATTGAGTCGTTCGTCCCATACAGCATCAAAAATATGCACATCCCCCCAATGCTTTCCGGGGTTCTTGTAAACAAGAACCTTCCCAATAACTTTCTCGCCATTCCTGCACATTCAAAATCGTTAAAAAAAGACATGTTACGAAATCTTTGTCTGTCTGAAGGGGATTAAGAGAGGTTACTTACTTAACGATCGCAACCTCGTTTGGCTTCAGAACCTTCTCCTTAGTAGGATCGGAAGTGCCCATGAGATAATAACTCTGGGGCAGAGGCAAACAACCTTTTCTCAGCAGTGCGATCTTATCCTGCGTTATCTTCTTCAGATTGTTTTGCATCTGAGGGTTGCTCATGGGAATATTTGCCATGATCATACGAAGTGTTTGGTCACCAACAGCGTAGTCTGGGGAACAACTTTTCAATTCTGTATAATCCACATGATTGACAAAATATTAGACTAGAACACCAGAGCATTGGAATACGAGTGAACATAACAACCTTGCAACAAACAGTGACCAAGACAGAAAAGACACTTCAGAGCTCAAAGGTAACGTCTCTATACCTCTGAAGACTTGGCCCCTCTCAGTAAAGAAAGTGCGAAGCTTTTCAAGAGCTTTCTCCACGAGTTCCAGGAAGAAGGAAGCTGGAACGTTATTTATAGACAGAAGAATAATCAAATCCTGAGACAACCTTGCTTCCTCTAGCTTGTAACTGGCAACAACAAACACACAATATTGATGACTTCATTAAAATCTGGCTAGAGATTTGAAATAACGTAACAAACAAGAAACGGAAACTTGTATCTCATCCTAAATCGTCAATTGAATATGATACTTAAACTAAAACAAATATCTGCTGCTATTTTCCACACACAATGACTTCGTCAATAAAATGGATATGCCTCTCAACAAATTCTTGATAATAAAAAATTAAGATATGCACGAGAGGGGAACTTCAACCCACATACCACGTATTGGTGTTCACAACTTCAAAACTTTTGATAGTGGGAATGTCTTTCAAAATAGGGTCAGATGTGACCTTCACCATTGATGGTCGGTACAGGATTTGCAGACCTTTCAACTGCAGAAAAACAAAATAAAATCCAGAACATGTTGATCTATGAAAACATCATTGACGTACTCCACGCTTATGCATATTTTCGTTTATCAAGTAACCCAATTCTGTCCAACACACTGTAATACAACAAAAAGTTAACCAACTTATCTTGAACCAGAGAGTGCCTACAGGCTACGCGTGTGAAAAGCATCCAAGCCAATTTCGAGAGTGATTAGCAATCTGACGGAACATGATCCAATTTCGGATGAAACAATGAGAAAACTCAAATACCTGATGATTCACTTGCCAAGTACCCTTTATTGCCATTCCTTTCCAGAAAAGACAGCCTTGCACTAACGTTGGGTAACCCTGTGAACAACGAATCATAAGAGGTGCAGATTTATTCAGTTTTAACTTAGTCGAATCTCCAGTTCAGCTGCTGGTACACTACCCATTTCACTCATCGAACTTCTTACTCTCATTTTACTGCTTGCCGAGACTGTCCAAAGAGACGATGAAATCAGGTCAACTATTCCCATGATCATCCACGTAGACAACACACCTTTGGTTCACCAACTCTTCCTTTACAGACAGAACATGGTAAGAGCCTTGCAACATCAGGTGAGATCTCTGATGTGCCTTCTGTGTGAGCCATAAATTTCCCCGAGTTGTCTAAAGTCTGTCAAGACATTGCAAGACGATTACATTCAAGTAAGACTTCGTGGCACTGGAAAATAACAAACTTTTCTAAATTTGTTGCGAATCGTTGCAAAAGATGAAACGACTAGGTGATGCAACAAGAAAGTGCGTTGAGGCACATGAACTAGGAAAACCAAAAGGGATACTTCGATTATATTTCACTCTGGTTCCGAGAAAAATTCCAGAAAGCATGGATTGGGAAGTTTTTTGCACCAAAAACATACTCATACTTAAATATCAGATATCAAAGAGAGGAAAAATCGAAATATTTGTAACAGCTGTACCTTTGAAAGAATGTCTGGGATCTGTTTAACTTCAATTTCATCCCAATTAAGGTTGGCTGTAACAGACTTAGAAAGAGCCAGTTGTAATCTGAAACCTCAACCCGAAATTGTACCCAACCGATGGATAAAGAACTAGGTAAGTTAAAACGGAAAGATCGACGTGTCCATTGTAATTATACCAAAAAATCAAATAAAATAAGATGGGATAAATGAAAGTTATTTAGGTCTTCATACCGACGAATCACTCATTGAATTCATTGTGGAGGCTAGTTCAGACTGTGGACAGCTACAGGTTCAAAGCACTCACCGGGAGGCAAACCTAGGCATTGTGGGCATTGCATGAATGTGCATTATGTGGCAGCGAGCAGCCTCTATTCGGGTGAAATACTTGAAATTTGGATCAGAAAGATCGACATCTGCTAACGACTCGGTGCAGACAAAGAAGCATTTTACAGCTCTCTGATAATCCTTAGCTGTTTAATACACATTCCCACTATGACTAAGTATAGATCACAATCAAGTTCCATTAACGAGGTACACATTTGGACAGACCTATCAATCGGTCAAATGAAAAGAGGTAGTTCAAGTTAGAGATTGAGTATACTACTCGATAAGGACTCATGTGTTGTATCTGACATGAATCTTGCTTGATACAACTACGCCATGTATACAACTATAGTAATTAAAGACTAATTTGGTTTAAAACCTATTGTTACAAAGGATCTTACCTACTCCCTACATCAAGGAAATCAGAAGAGAAGGAAAACAACAAATCTTCCCCCACAAAGCATGTGCGCCTCTGAATACCTAAGATGTTCAACATCAAATTCTCCTACTGTAGAAAAGTAATTTGTATAGTGATAGCGAAAATAAAGGGTGGAATTTCATGCCCTATCACTTCTTGAACAACCTGAGACAATTACCACAATGCAACAAGCTAGTTCACTTCTTATAGTACAATAAACTGAAAGTATGAACTACATGCTATGATCACGGGGATAGTGTAGGAAACTCTTACCATAGGGTTTAGTTCTGTTTCTGAAGTCACCCTTTCCAGAATCCTTGAAACCTGGGTAAAAAAACACAACACGGTGTCTAACTCAAAGAAGTTGAACCAAAATGTAAACGAAGTACTCATTTAAATGAGCAACCATATTCTATCCTCTATATCATAACACACAACCTCTTCAAAAGTTGTAGGTTATTCCACGACTTACTCCAGAGTCGGTATCGTCGCAGGCCGACTAAAATACCATCTCGAACCAGTTGAAACTTGTCTTCAGTTGGAAACTCATTAAAGTAAACAGGCATGACTCTGTCGTCGCCAAATATCCGATGCAGCAAAGTACTTGTTGATCTTGGCTTCACACACTGAAAAAAACATGATTTGAAGATGAGGTAAGAAGCATGAAATTTGAAATTAGTAACAGTAAAATTCGCAAGTCTCGTTATCGATAGGCCATTGTTCAAATCATACTGGTGTTTTAAACTTACCTTAAACTTACAAACGCCATGTTTATCGACGTTACACTCGAATGAAAATAGCCCCTTAGCCAGCCAATCTTTCTGTCAACATTTCGCATATTAGCAAACTATGTCCTTAGAATATTCGAACTGATAAAAGAAGCTTTTCAATCTACAGTCATAACAATTTTTTGAGTTGTATTCCGCCCACCCAGTTGAGTTACTAGAGATTAAGGTGAATAGCATTCTAACATGTTCAAACCCTGTTAACTTAAACGTGCCTGCTGCAAAAGATGCCTAAAGAAAGGTAAACACGTCGCTGACGTGAATGACTTATCAATACATGCGTTTCTGCTCAAAAGCAATCAAACATGGACTTTTCGTATCTTATAGACCTCCTGTAAGCTTAGGGGCAAGTAGTCGTGTATACTAAGCATGTCAGTAGCAAATTATGAACAAAGGAAAATAAGAAAATTCTCAACACAACAGTAAGACTGATTACTGATCGACTGCAAAAAGCTTGGTCCAGAAACAGAGGATTTGAATGTACCCTGATGTAAGGAAAGGCTTCATTCCGAACACCTTTGTTGATCGCAACTTCCCGAGAAACGTATCCAGGAATATCTTCCAAGGACAATCTCTCTAGCTTCTTAATTTGTTCCAGCGTTAGCACCTTTTCCGGTAGAAGACCTAAGCTGCACGATCATTTTTATTTCAATCTCCTTGACAGTGATACCCATGCTCAATGTTCGAGAGAATTACAAATTACAACATGCTTTGTCAAAAAAAAAACTCGACCCGCAGCGAATTTGATGAGGATGACAACTCAATTCTATTTTAGAAACTTACTCTCCAAGACAGCTCAGCGTGACCATAAATTTTTTAAATTCCAATTTCCCTAATGCAAGTTGCTGCTCCGTAAGATCAACCCAGGGCCAAGAGAACTGCTCCTCCACCACATTGGGATACAGATGATCCCAGACTTTGTCTAAGGGAATCAGCTTCTCAAGTTTTTCCATCTGTGATTGCTTTAGTCCAGCTGAAGGAGCCGACCCCCTCTTTCTCAATCTTGTCTTCTCAAAACCACGTACTCTTTCTGGCCCTGCAATAAAATTTCAAAACTGATCAGCCTTCACTATAACTTGTTTTGAAGCTCTCTTCATGACTGCTTAATTAAACCAACACACAGTATTTGGAAATATCTCAATTCAGATCGATGACTGCGAACTGTGATTCCGACATGTGAGTACATCAAGAAGTGCGTATTACCATAGCTCGGAGATGGAGGAGTCACTGCAGCTTCAGCATCTGACAGAAATTTCCGAAAGCGCTGCGCCAAAGGATCTTCAGGCTCCTCTCCTAAACTTACCAACGAACTTTGAGATGAATTTTCAATGTCGGCATCAGCCCAACTGCTGCTCGGATCACTTCGTCCATGACCACTGGCACTGGAGCTTTTACTGGAAGTAGGGCTCCCTGGCATCTCCTCGTCCTCGACCTGACCAGGAGTATTTACGAATTCTTCCTCGTCAGGTCCTACTCCTGGAATCCATGAATTCTTCACCGGGGAAGTGAAGTCCGAACCTGAAGAAAATTTGGAGGCCTCTTCCTCATCCCCTTTACCCGCAGCCCAAGACAGTATCTTCCAAGCCCCGTGCATTGTACCAGTGGAAATCAATCGACTTTTCACGAGAATTAAATTATCATTGCGTGCGCACAGTCTTGGAACGAAACAACAAATACTACTGCCTTGCCCAAGACTGCTGGTCAAAATTTAAAAATTAACTGCACGATATTGTACAGCTCTTAATGCCCACGAGTCAGCTGATAGCTTGGAATCAGAATGGCTGGAATTGCCGAACTCGGTGAGCAGAATGAAGAGAGCACAGCATCATCCACTCAGGCACAGAACCAGATTCCAACCAAGTTCTAAATCCTGAGGTGGACAACCAAAACCTATCAACCCCGCAAACCTCCAACTCAAACTCTGTAATCATACGCTTCCATTGCAATTCCTCGACAATGGCAGCCGAGTAACAAAATCTAAGTTAAGAGATGACTGCATACTGCTGTCAACGATGGCAGCCGATCAAATTGATTATGCTTCCTCCATCCACTGAAAGATACAACAACTAACAGGAACTATAACATTTCCAACAACGTCTGGCGGGAGGGGAAACCGTAAAGGATAAGGAACAATTCACAGAAGAGGATTCACCAAACCTAATCTTCAACTGCAAAAAACTTAATTTTTTTGTCACGATCAACAAGCGCCGAGAAACGATCTGTCATTTACCCCTAAACGCACACAAAATGCGTGGCCGCCGCTTCTTCACTCCTCCCCTCTACCATGAAAATTCATATGCAACCAAACTCCAGGCAACATCGCACTTGCGCTTCAAATCCACAGCATCCTTCAAGTCACTCCCACTGCAGCGAGCAATCCCGATCTCCCCCAGTCTCCAATAACCTCAAACAGCACCAAATAGGCTCACGAAAAAAAAAAAAAAAAAAAAAAAAAAAAATCTTCTTAAATACTCTTAAACAACAACAACATTAACAATAACACAAACAATAAATTAGAAAAATAAATATAAAATCCCAAAAAAACAACGAATAAATATTTTAAAAAATATATATCCTGTCTAAACCCTCGAATAACACTCCGCATTCCCAAAAACTCAATTGGAAAATTACAAATACTGATGCAAATGGCGGAGCTGAAGCTAAACTACGCATTCAAACAATCCTTGACAAGTCTCCACTCCCTTCTTCATCGAACCTTCTAACGTGGCCCCCCGGATGGATGAATAAATGGATGACCATATTTCACATCCAAAATTCGATGGATTTCCTTGTTGTGTTCGACGGAATTGAGGATGAAATTTATGATTTGAAAATGGATGAGGAAGGTGGTTCTTTGGATGAATGAAAGGCTCGCCGGCGATTTGAAAAGATTCCTCCTCCTGCTGGTTCTGGTTTAGGGATAGGTGTGGATCGCGGGTCGTGAGCGCATCGCGGGTCAAGGTGTGCTGCGCCGGCTGGCCCCTTCTACCCTTCCTGAACCCATCCCCCTCGATGAATGATGGATGGATGGATGATGCAGTTGTGGACGAATGAATTATTGTGCTTTTTGTGACTTTATGTAAGGTAGCCGACCCATTTCAGATAACTTAAGCATTTCAGCATATATGCAGTAAGTGTAAAAATGAAAGAAAAAAAAATCCTTGTGTATGGAAGTATAAATCAGGTGGATTTCATGTGTTTTCACATAATTTGGCCCGAACACAAAATTCATACAAATGTTTTATGTGAAGATTTTCTTCCACCCAAATTTGACAAATAGGCCAACCTAATTCCCCATCAATGGTGGGTTACAAAATTGATAATCCTTCTTTCCCATAATCAAGAAGTGTAGTACCTAATTATGCTATCAAGCTTCACCTAATTTTGTGCTACCTACAATTGCTAATGTGTGGATGAGGTAATTAGAGTGCAACCAGCTTCTGCTAAACTAGAATTCCACCCCAACCAATCAACAACTGCCACTTAAATTGACACCCATCCACTTTTCCGTGATCAAAAATGCTAAAACTTAACAAGCACTAGACCTATTTCCAACCAGAATGGTGATAAAACTGGTCATAACTAGGATGCAAGACTTGTGGAAAACACCCCACCCTGTAGGTCAGAAATGGGAGGGTGATTGAGAATTGATTGGCTACCTTAATGGAGCCCTGCAACAAGAGAGGCCTAGGATAAGCAGATAATTAGGGGGAAGGGGGGAGGGGGGGTTCATTAAAATCTTTAATTTGCCCTAATCACACGATTGTTAATTGAGTTTATCAGAGCTTGTAAGAGCCGTGGATTTACTTGAGGCTATTGGAGGTGGTTCTGATTAAAGGAATGATTATTGCCATATTTCTATTCCTACATCCACATTTTTTCATCCATGGGTAATTAGATCCTCTTTCTACTGCTACTCAATTGTGATTTCCAAATTTTAATTTGGTTCATATTTTCAGTCTTTCTTTTTCTTTTAAATCCCAAAATGAAAATAGATTTTATTTATTTTCAAAATTTTTTTTATGAAGTTTTCAAAAACCATACTTCTCTTGGGATTTTGACATAAAGCTTATCAATTGAAGGAGAAAAATAAAATTAATGTAATGTGTTTTTATCCTGAGATAATGTTCAGAATTATCATGTTTCACACAAGTGCTTAGATCTATAATAAGTAAAAGGATTGATCTGAATTATAAACTTAATATAAATCAATAGATAACCAAGACCCGAATTATATAATAAGAATAATAATAAACATTAAGGTGCTAACTTTTGTATAATGAAGCTATGTTCAGATTTTATTAAAATTTGTACTCTAACACCTACAAAATTTAAATTACATACAAGTAACATATTATTCGGCTTATGTTTATTATCTCATTTTTATTTCTCTATTTCGTCTTGAAAAGCCATCTTATTTCTTCATTGTATATATATATATATATATATATACAAAAAAAATCATATTCAATAATAAAAAAATGACATTTTTCTTTGTGCAAGTACAATATTTTTTTTTCCTTCTTAAATATTATTATGGATATTCTCAATATTCTTAAAAATGATATTCATAAGTCATAGTAAGAAAAACATGATAATTGTTTACAAGTACCAGTATTTTTATACATTACCTAAGTTACTGTTAGCTAATTATAATATATATTGCAATGAGTAATTAATGTTTGAAATAAAGAGATATACATCATATTCTTATAAGTTTGATTGTATTGAGGAATTAATAAATACAAAACCAAAAATCATGTATGGCAATACAATTTCTTTTATTAAGTTAAATTGCATTACAAATTTCGACTTTTACAAATCTATATTTTACTTCAAATTGAAGATTAATCTGAATAAAACAAATGTTATTCCCATAAAAATACAAACTTTTTCAAATTTACAAATCCAGACTATTTCAACATTAAAAGTATCATAAAATCCTTCATACATTGAAATTTACATTAAATTAGTTCAAATTATTTTGTAGTGCTATGCTAGAATGCTAGTAGAATAGTACTGAAGACTCTAAACCATCAATAGAAAACCCAAATTACACAATAAAATATGATTATTGTAATTCAGTTGATAGTCTGACAGTATTAAAAGTTCATAGTCTTTTACAATAACCATAAAGAATTCAGACATATGAAATTGATGATTTCTGTGTACTTATTATAAACATGTAGAGCCCAAGAAGAAATCTAGCACCATATATAATAAAAAAAAGAATCAAACTATATATATATATATATATATATATTCGTCTCTAATTTTCATCTGATTTTTGGAAGAATATATGGTGTACACTTGCTTGCATCAATACTTTACATTTTTTTTTTTTTTTTTTCTATCTTTCTTTCTTTCTTAAACATCTCAATCAGTAATGGTCTTATTGTGCACTATTACATTTCACAATTTGAGACATAATTTTTTAACTGTTGCATTTTATTAGCTAATTTATTTTCTTAAATGTAAGCAGCACATATTTAATAATTGACTAACCTTCTAGTTTTTAAATGTATTTTTATCAGGATGATAGCACAATAATTAAGCATGTACATGAAAAAATTATTATTATTATTATCAATTAATTAAAGACATGCTTTTTAACTGTATGAACTTCTAAATTTAATGCATATTCATTTAAATATAAATGGCTATAGTTGATGTTGGAAATTGAACTTGAATAGGTGTTAAGAAATAAAATCGTATATTTATTGGATATGTCACATTAATAAATTGATGGAGATGAAAAAAATGTCACATTTTTATTGTATACATATAATAATAAATATTATCAACCAATCAATCAATACCAAAATATAATTTTATCATGATATATATAGGAAATTGTTAAATTGACCCAGGGGCATTTACTAAATTGACTCATTCATCATCATGGATTGATGATCCAACCATTTTTTCATTGGTTTTTGACCAATATGGATTTGGGAGTAAAGAATTTTTTGATGATGGTTAGAATGGGTGGGTTAATTTTGTAAATGCTTGAATAAATTTAACAGTTCTCTCTATTTCTCTATATATATATATATATATATATATATATGTGTGTGTGTGTGTGTGTGTGTGTGTCACATCAAATAAATGATACTTTGAATATATTGATTACTTTGTTTATTACATTTTGTGCACTTTCTAATACACAAGTGTATTATAAGATGATGTAATTTTTTATTCAATCTTATTCATTTTTTTATAAACTTGCAAAAATAACTGTAATATGATGCTCAATGTATTGTTATCGTTATTCTCATAAGAGCTTAGAATTGTATTCAACATGAGAAAGTTCATTTACAAAGTTTTTACAATCTTTTTCCGTTTCTTTTATTGGCTTATAAAAACATATATATTTTTTTACTAAGATAATTTTAAAATGTGTTGTGAAGTGTGATTGTACATTTTACAAAGTCACATATTAACAAAAATTAAAAGAACATACAAAGCACTCATAGACTTTTTTTCAACATATACTAAAGTTCATTATTTCAAGATACTATAATAAAAACTATCAAAAACATTAAAAAAAATAAATATTCTATGAATATTAGTTTGTGATTCTTTGTTTCATTGTTTGCATCTTGATTCATTATCACAATTCTACATTATTAAGTTCCACACGTTGATAAAACTATCAACCCCATTATATTTGACTAGTTCAAAAAGCACAACCTTTTTTCAAATGTACTTTTTCCAGTGTATGACTGAAAAGTTTGAAAAACGTGCATGTTCCACGAAAGCGTGCTGACGTGGAAAAGTCCAGAAGGAACGCACATGACAAACAATAGGTCGTGCTTGAAACAGAGCCCAAATGGATGAATACATTAATGGCCCGAAGTTTACATCCATACACATAATTCATCCATTCATCCATCGAAGAGGATGGTTTCAGCCAAGCGGGAAAGCACGGAGTCGCCATTTGAAGTGAGCTCGCTCTGGATTCATGAAGAAGAAGACGACGAAGAAGAAGCAGAGCTCTTGGCTATGGCGATCGCCTCTCTGCCACTGGTTCATCTTTGCGTTCCAATGGTTCATGCCCCGCTTTCGTTACGCGACTCCAACCTTGCCGTCGTCATCGTTGCATTAATTATTATTTTTGATTTTTTTTCACACAGCTGCGCTGCCATACTTCACAATTTCTTTGTCTGCTAACACTGGTCTCGCTCCTTGCTCTACTAATTTTATCTCAGAAACACGAGGCTGGTCCTTGGTGCACGTTAGTTTGGTACTTAGGATTGTTGTTCGTTGTGGAGGTGGCCTGAAATGAGTTCAGAATGGAGGTTTGATTGTTTGAAATGGACATCATCGGCATTGTTGTCTTCAAGGTTGTGGAGAGGGGAGACTTAGCTATCATTTCACAAGTGGTAAGAAAGAGGATAAAGAGCTTGAAGTTGCGGACGAGAATCTGCTATTCTGTATGTATCAGGTGCGCAGTTTATGGAATCTAGATTTGAGCGTCCTTGCTTCTCTCGTTAGTCCCTGGTTGTGATTTAGATGGTTGTACGCAGTACTAGTTTCTATGTGAAGCTGATTTTGCTCGGCAAGCCTTGCGAGCATTGGCTGTTGAAGAAGTCGCGTTACTTTAGCTTGCGGTAAATTATGTTAAATTGGGGTGGTTTTTATAATGGGTGTACATGGTCTCGACTCTCTGATCTTCTATTCATGGGAATTCGGCAGTTTTGTGAGGGAGAAATCGAGGATGTCACGAATTCTCTGCGAATGAGAAAGCAACAGAGAGGGAGGGTGGGCTTGGTTTTAGCTTTGTTGTTACAGAGGAAACTCAAGTTGAATATATATGAAGACTAAAACATCTCATCAGTTAATCATCTTCAAAGTTGCGGCGAGGACAACAGATGCTCAATGTCTGCTCAGCATTGATCTCGATCACCTGATTTTGGTTGCGGTTCACAAGTTTTTGAAAATGAGAAGGTAGATTGGAAGCAGTAGCTAGTTCATCTGAATGGAGAGAGGTTATGCAACACTGTTATCGTCTTTTCGTGTTTATTTCGCTTAAGATGTGGGTGCTGTGCATGAAACCGAAATTCCTTCAAGTGCTCAATATCATAAGATTGTGGAGCAATCTCAGCATACTTTGGGATTCTAGTATTTTTATGCCAGTAATGGATGCTTTACAGGATTTTCATGACCAGCAAGATTACCAGGGGAGACTTCATTTACCTGTTTTAAGCATGTTCAAGTTTTCGCATGCATTTCCAGTGATTCTTACTGAATCGGAGGTTGTTTTCGCTGAAGTTTCTCCACTTTGAGACGGCAGGTAAGATGCAGCTGCTATAACAATCCAACCATGCCTATTATGGACAAGAGCGACGGTCCGCATCAGCAGGTTGGGGATCTAGAGAAAATGTAGCTCTCATCAATGATCACCAATATACTTAAAGCTACTGGAGTCACATCAAAGATTTGAACTTTATGCACTCTGAATCCTTCTCTTCAGAACCGGCAATCTTCATTTAGAAAAGCACTACAGTCCGCGTGATTATGAAACATAACCGAAGAGTATGTCGTTGCAAATCCGTCTCCTGGAGATGCTCCTCGCAAAGAGCTTCAGGAAGTTCGCTCAATCTTCCACTAAGCTGGATAATTATTCTGCGATATTTCTTAAGACCGTCTGTTTTACCCTGTATCGCCCTCTAAACCTGGTTTTGAATCGAGGTTGGTACAATTGGCTTTCAGTTTTAAACAGTCAGGGTTGAGGTAAGTGAGACCACTTTGCTCGATTGTTGAATTGCACTAACAAGCTTGAGTATTGAAGATTTGCTGCACTTTGATCACATCATCTCAGGTGAATGTATGCTTTAACGTTTTCTTGTTACATAAACATCAGATAAGTGTCATTCCTTCTTTTAATTGATTTACTCCGTCTTGTAGATGACGGCTAAAGCTCAAGTGCGCTGGGGCCTTCTTTGAGGTACCGAAGTCTGTGCAGCCGTATGTATGGTCAAAATATAGCCAGCCCCTTGCGAGCCCCCAGTTTGCGAAGCTAGTCCAATGATGGGTGAGGATGTTATATCTTCCTCTGCATCTCTATATCAGGATTTTGGAAGACGTCCTTTCTCTCTGAGATGCAATTAATACTATCCCCTGGACTGCGTAGATGCTGTCACCTGTGAGAGTACTGCAGTTCTTGAAAGTCACATTATTCTGTTTCAGGTGAGTAGTCCCACCTTTTCCGTGCTGAAAAGCTTCAGACCATCGTAATGCTTCAAAACACTTCAAGAGAACTGTTGCCGCAACCCAGTCACACAATGTACATGGTTTGGTAGTAAAGAACTTTCATGTGGTTAGAGTCCCTCTCTCCTGATTTAAGATGTTGACGTCGCTTTGCATCAATCAATCAGATCCTTTCCAACTTGCTCCAGCAAAGGAGTTCATCATAACTACGATTTGAAACTCGAAAGAAGCTTGCATTCATCACTGAGCTTTCTGACCATGGATGTGTGAGTTTATTCCATTCTCTTGTTTTAGACGTTCTTATTTTTATGAATGCAGAAATGAATTAGGGTGAACTAGAAAGGGCTTGCTGACGTGTCCCTTGTCAACTCCTGCACCACGCAGGATGTAGCAGACATTCCTGACTACTGGGACCAGAACCTTACAAAATCTCATGCCCAAGAAACTGTCTGACAACATGGCGGTGACGGAACGGCCCTGTTAGAAGCTTTCAGCAGCTCGGCATTTTTACAGTTGTTACGATTGCAGTCCGTTGCTTCTGGCCTCCGCTCCTGACTCTGAAGCAGAAGGGTGATCGTTCGTAATAAGTGGCTCGATCTAAGTTTGCAATGACCAGACTTGAAAAAACCTTCTCATTTTGATTTCACGCCATTGTTGTGTTCGAACGACTTCTTGATCACTGTAGTAAGGAAACCTTCCATTTTTTTCAATTCTCTTGAAAATGTATCATTAAGTAACACACTTTTTGGTTAGTTGGCCCTTTGCAGTCACATATCTGCAGTATGACCATCCAAAATTTTCCTTACTTCCTAAATCCCTCAACAAAACGCATTGATCACGTCCAGTCAGGACCTGCAACAGGAACATGTCTCTGATCTGATGCAACAGTGCCGATTTTACTTTTCTTCGCAGTTTCCTGCGGAGGAATACAAGCTTAGTACTTGGTTGAGTGTCCAACCCCCCATTCCTTTTTGACCTTGGCCGAGATCATCTCGAATATTGCCACTTTTGAAATTTAGTAATAATTTTTTCACGAACAGTATACAAATGGAACCGGGTTCTGTTATTGCAGTTTAATGGGGTCACGAAGATTACAGTGTCTGCAGGTACTGCATACCTCCTTTTCCGCTTACCCCAAGAAAGCGATCATCCACTTTGTACTCACCCCACTAAACCATGTTTTTTCTGGACTTCCATCGACTCAGATAGACGAATCGATGCGCTGGAATTGAGACGAAGTGCAATTCCACCGTCCTGACCCCCCCCCCCCATAATCACTGCACGGAAGTGGTAGGGTTGCCCGAACGACATGATTCGTATGCGAAACAATTGAAACGTTGTCCCTGGGCTTCGGACATGGCAAAAGATGGTGTGGGCCTTCGACATTGGCGGTGCCTCAAGGGAATAACAAGCGCCATTTACGCGATTCCCATTGCCTTCGTGGTGTGGCTCCAGCAATGACAAGGGGCCGGCCGAAATAATGAGATGGGGCTCCGAACATCGATGCAATAATAATCCCCCTCTCTCTCCCCACCTCGACGATGGAGAGCTTCGCTTGATCGACGAGGGGCAATGAATCACAAAGCTCTCCAGCAAAGCGGCTGCCCCGTCGCGGTCATGATGCTGTAGTGCGCCCACCACCGCCGGTTGGAGAATGTCAGACAGAGAAAGTGAGAGGAGGATTTTCCATCAGTTTGCGGCAGAGGATTTTTCCAGCCCCATGTGAGCTGTGCGAGGGCCAGCCTGCCTGCCTCGCAGGCCTCCTCTCCCCATCCCTGCCATAGCCACATGCTGCTGCTCCTTCTTGTCCTTTCCCCTTGAAACCCTAATTTGCTCGCTGCCCTTCCCCTCCGGTTCTGTCCCGCCCTCTTTCGGGAACGTCTTGCGTTTGGGAACCGATGTGTTTTGTTTGCGGGAACAATTTACTCCAGGATATAAATAAGGAATTGTTAAATTGATCCAGGCATTTATTAAGTTGCTCCACCCATCATCAATCAATGTTTGAGGATTCAACCATTTTTTCATTGGTTTTTGACTGATGCGGATCCGGTGGTGGGACATATATTTATGATGGTTAGGATGGGTGGGTTCATATAGTAAATGCTTGGGTCAATTCCACAATTCTCAATAAATATAGGAATTAAAGGTGTGAAGAAAATGGTTTTGCTTGGAATTACAGTTATTTAATAACACCCTTGGCATATAAAAGTGGAGTAAGTAGAAGATTTTTGTGTGTGTTTTTTTATCATTTTCTTTACTTTTATTACATGTTGATTGTTTTTTTGGTCAATGATAGAATTTGATGAATTTATTATTTTTGACAGTATGGTGGTGGTGTAAACTAAAACTGATGTGATTAAACTTAGGTTTATTTGGATTATAATGAGTTTACTGTTGTTGAGTAACACTTGCAATGTCAAGTGTAAACATTAAAAAAAATATTGACATTCACGATTTGTATTTGAGAAAAATGAGTGTCAAATACACACACACATACACACACACACACACACACACACATATATATATATATATATATAGATATAAACGAATGAAATTTTAAATTCACCCAACTTTCTCCACTTTGCTCCTCATGCACTTCACACAACTTTGCACTCCGTCATTGATCTCTCAATTTTACACTTGGTGATGTGTTGATTTTGCAATGAGATGAGAGGATGAGAGTGAGAAGTGGAGAATGGAACTCTTGGGAAGGGTTGTAATAAAGCAACTTGAAGGAAAAACAAGCAAGATTGATAATTTTACATTAGAGAGAGGTTGGTGAATTGTGAAGAAAGATCATCAAAAAAGGTTTGGTGAGAAGAGAAGTTTTTGAGGATGTCAAATGTTGGAAATGATTAAAATTTATTTTGATAAATACAATAATTATATTTTACCAAAAACAGATCCATTTAAGATATAGGTGGGTTAATTCAAAAATCCTCTGAAAGAATCTATTTAGTGTGTTGTGTTTTCATAAATATGTTTCAACTAGCATACATGTTTTCAAATTTTTCTGAAAAAATAACGAAGTATAAATTTATTTTAGTAGTAAAGTCATCGAAATAATGAAATAATGAAATAAATTATTATAAAAGTATATTTTTATTATATCTTGTTGTTTGAAAATGACATAATATTTGAACATCAACTTTTGAATGCACATAATTTGACCTAAATGTTAAAAAAGACATTATTGAATGACATGATATTATAAATACAACATCCATGTTTACCATTATATATATATATATATATATATGAATAGACTTAGTTTGAAAATGGTGTATACTAAATTTATATTTTATTGTGGTTAATTATGAACTATTCTATTTGTAGTTATGTTATTGCATAAAACATCTACTAATATGAGTGCAGCATTGTAGTACTAATCATCTATACTACAACTATGGCTACATTGTGCTTTCATAAAGATAATAAAAAAGAAGAAGATGTTCATCATATTAGTTTAATAAGCAAAAGAATACTTTTTTCACTTTATTTGCAAGTTGAATGAATTATTATGTGAAATCTCTGCACATGAGAGAAGTTTGAAGACAATTCATAAATTTATTTTAAAAACATAATACATGCAGTTACATATTTTTCATAACTTTGATTATAACAACAGAACTTCAAAATTCTACACGTCTTTTTAAGTTGAAAATTTTAATTAATCCAATTTGTTAATGTAGAACGAACTATGTATACATACAAACATAAATTGTATAGACATAATTCGTTTATTTAGATTTTTTTTTAATTAACATTGTTTTAAACTATAATATTTAGCAATTCATCATACATTGAAGATTTGTATAGTTTAAATTATGTATGTATACCTATTACCATATTCTTGGCATTATGCTTGTTTTTTATTTATTATTTTTGGAATGGATAATAACAGTGATGTGCGCACACTCATTTTGAATATTCGAAGCAAAACCTTGCATTATTTTTTTGACATACATGTAATTTTAAAGGCAATAGTTCAGATCCACCCGTGCAATTATGTGTGGGGTTGGTCACACCCAGATGCTTAAGATGATTATGCCTTCATAAAAGTGGTTCTCTAGGTCTCATAAAGTCCCTACAAGCTTTACAATGAACGCTTTAGAAAGGAGAATACGACGCCGACTTCGGTTTTGCTGGACTTGGAGGTTAATCGCAGGATGTGTCCTTAGTCGAGAAGGCGCGGGACGTGAGTGAGCTCTGAAGATAAGCTTCCAATTTGCCACTGCAAGTGTAACCTGCTCCATCGGGCGCGAGTCCGTAGGGATCATGAACACCTCATTTCACTTGGCGTTAGTGCACTCTAGCGGCATTGAAGCAATCCATGCCCTCAGAATGAGTCGCGGGGGGCAGTGAACGAACTAGTTAAGAAATCCAGTAATGACGGCACCACATCGGCAGATCCAGATCCATTGCAGATTATCCTCTTCAGCCGGACCGAATAAACCATGCCTAAATAACCACCGGAATGTGTCCTGTGCGGGACTGATTGTTTTCCAAAGAAACACTAACTAATTATATCCAGACAGTGGGATGTATGCGGGTATCCGTGAAGCCAGATATGAGATCTCTGATAAACCTGAGGAAGATGTCTTACATGGCGGCACGGGAAACACGAAGAAAAGCCGAGGAGAAGGTATTGAAAGCTGAGCATAGCCATTGGCTGGTGAGGAAAGGGCATGCAACAACTCATCGAAAGCGGAGTAAACTTTGAAATCCCGTAGGCTTCATGCGATGTTCTAAATTCTTAGCCTCGACGACGATTTCAAGGTCTGATTCGAAGCTTCCGAGCGGGGCTCCGGAACTGTCACTTCAGTCGACTTTGAAATGTGAAGCGACTTTGCTCACTTGTGACACAGCAATTCAACTCCACAATATAAAAAAATCGCGAAACAAAAAAAAAAAAAAAAAAAATCTACTTTACTCGTCGATGTTCCACTCGAAGACAAACAGCTTTAAAGCGTTTACCTGTGGTAGAGATAGATTTCGGCGAAGGAATTCAAATCCAGCAACCCTCCCACTCGTACCGCAGACCTTGAGTTTGAACGGTTCTGTTGCTGTTTGCGGTGAGTTCAAAACTCGACTGACCTCTCTGAAACCAAAAGTTTACCTTGAGCTGCCCGAGAATCTCCGAACGTTCGATATAAGATCCAACGGTCTCAAGAAATTCTCCCTCGAGGAACACCTATGCCCAGGGGCAGGGGGTTCCTTTATCTTTCTCCCTCTGCCGCAATCCATTTCATTGTGCTTGCAGGACTGTCATCCCTCCCCTTGTTGCCAGTGGTATCCGGAGGTTCCCGCGACACCTTCTGGTGCCGGAACTAAGGTCTGTTGTTCCTTTCGTGAGGTAGAGCACACTGAAGATGAGGGAAATCTTGCACATTCAGGGAGGACAGTGCGGTAACCAGATCGGAGCTAAGTTCTGGGAGGTTGTGTGCGAGGAACATGGGATCGACCCTACCGGGACATACCAGGGTCTGTCCGACTTGCAGTTGGAGCGCATCAATGTGTATTACAATGAGGCCAGCGGCGGCCGTTACGTGCCGCGCGCAGTGTTGATGGATTTGGAGCCTGGAACCATGGACAGCGTTCGGTCTGGTCCTTACGGACAGATTTTCCGCCCGGATAACTTTGTGTTTGGCCAGACTGGTGCGGGTAACAACTGGGCGAAGGGACATTACACCGAGGGAGCTGAGTTGATTGACTCTGTTCTGGATGTGGTGCGGAAGGAGGCTGAGAGCTGCGACTGTTTGCAAGGTTTGTAATCTCGTGATCCATCTGTGGATCACTGTGTTTTCTTATTCACATTTTCTTGGTGAATATTATCACACATCTTCTTGCACGATGCTTGTTACGAGATGGTTAATAATCTATGCGTGATTGTGCAGGTTTCCAGGTCTGCCACTCTTTGGGAGGAGGGACTGGATCGGGAATGGGAACGCTCCTAATCTCAAAAATCCGTGAGGAGTACCCCGACAGAATGATGCTGACATTTTCAGTGTTCCCGTCGCCTAAGGTGTCTGACACTGTGGTGGAACCTTACAATGCTACTCTTTCCGTTCATCAGTTGGTGGAGAACGCCGACGAGTGCATGGTGTTAGATAACGAGGCTCTCTATGATATTTGTTTCCGGACTTTGAAATTGATCACTCCTTCGTGTAAGTGGTATTTTCTACATTTGTTCATTGTAATGAATCAATTCCCCATTCATTTATTTTTCACTTTCTACTCCAGTCCTTTATTGATGGTAATGGCTGTGTTCGGATTAGACTCCCCGTAGCCTTTGTGTCCTCACACTCGTATGAAATTTTATTTCTGCAGTCGGTGACCTGAATCACCTGATCTCCGCGACGATGAGCGGTATTACTTGCTGTCTGCGTTTTCCCGGCCAGCTGAACTCTGACCTGCGGAAATTGGCGGTGAACCTGATTCCCTTCCCGCGACTTCACTTTTTCATGGTTGGTTTCGCACCCCTGACATCTAGGGGATCCCAGCAGTACAGGTCGCTGACAGTTCCTGAGCTGACCCAGCAAATGTGGGACGCGAAGAACATGATGTGTGCTGCCGATCCCCGGCATGGAAGGTACTTGACCGCGTCGGCGATGTTCCGAGGCAAGATGTCGACGAAGGAGGTTGATGAGCAGATGATAAACGTGCAGAACAAGAACTCGTCGTACTTCGTCGAATGGATCCCCAACAACGTGAAGTCAAGCGTGTGCGACATTCCTCCGACGGGTCTGAAGATGTCTTCGACCTTCATTGGTAACTCTACTTCAATCCAGGAGATGTTCAGGCGAGTGAGCGAGCAGTTCACCGCTATGTTCAGGAGGAAGGCTTTCTTGCACTGGTATACCGGCGAGGGTATGGACGAGATGGAGTTCACGGAGGCGGAGAGCAACATGAACGACTTGGTGTCCGAATACCAGCAGTATCAAGATGCGAGTGCAGAAGAGGAGGGTGAATACGAGGAGGATTTAGAAGAGGCTTAAATGCGACCCGAAGGATGAGTACACGCGTTTTGGTTTTACGTTACTGACTTTTAGCTCCTCCATTCACACTGCAGGCCCTGGTTTACTGTTGAAAGCACGGTTATACCCTCCGTAAACTGAACATTCTGTTTCAGCGCGTCGTGTCTTAGTTGTCCTTTGGTTCACTTTTTAGTTTGGAAGCAAGTCGTTGTATAGATGATACTTAGCACATATAGTTGCTGTCGATTTGTTTTAAGTTCAGCATTCCGCTGCCTGAATTTCAGTAAATACCTTGTCCAACTTCGATGCAATATAAGTTGGCTTCAGTATCCAGTCTTGCCTTACTCCTTCATTGCAATCTTGGTGGCGGTCTGGTGCGCCTCGTCCACTTTCACGATGTACCTCGTCAGCTTGTTTGAACACTTCCTTTCTCCTACTGAGTATGGCGTTGGCCTCTTTTTCCAAGCTCTGTTGATGTAGGTCCTACCTTGTCAAAACATCACCCACAGAGATTTGACGACAATCGTAATTCTAATCCGATTGTATGGGGTTCCTGTCATAGTCAATATATTAACGCCCATCCTCTCACTTACCAACGTCTGTTACCAACTGGACAATAATGCATTCACAACCAAAGTGCAATTTTTGTATGAGTTGGAAATATCGAAACAGTTAGTGCCAGTAATTCACGCAAATAGTTGTGTCATGGAAACTTTTTTTTAACTTTCTGTTGTCCAATCATCGTGCTGAAACATTTAGAAATGTGGCAGACAGTTGCATTTGATGTATCAACTGCTGTGGTAGTAACACTTGTTGAAACTGTAAGATAGACATGCCAACTTTCTGGTGCTATGTGCTAATTGTTTATATCTTCCTGAAGAATGGTACAATTCAAATGAAAGTGGGTGGGAGAATTGATATCATTGATAGTGGAATAGGTTATTGCAATCAGTGAGTCCTTTTTTCAGGGTAGCTAATATTCCTTACTGATTATCCATTGACCACCAGTGTGGCTTGTGGAATGCGTGAAGTTAATTTAATTCTTGTTGCAGGATGGATCTTAATATCACACAAAAGTGACTTCAAAGTGCTCTACAGAATTGAATTGGTGCACAAAGATGTTCAATTTTAGAGTCAGAAGACATATCCAAGAAGAATGTTCTTGTAGAAAAAAACATGGAAAACATTGTATCTGATGTCACTGGTAAAGAATAGAGACATCATGGGTGTTACTGTGACTGAAAAACTGAAAAAGATAATTCAGACAAAATAATTAAAAAATAATAATAATCAAAGATCCATTATTGATTGTTGAGAAGTGTAAGGTAAATTATTTAAAGAAGAAACATTCAACAATGATTTAGACATTTCAATTAGAAGAGGTGCCCCTTTATTGAAATAAGAGACTAGGAGAGGTTTTGATGTGGCAAGATCATGAAAGATTTGTACTTTGTGGTTGTTGAGACTTTTGATATGTAGGTGAAAATGTAAAATACTGTACAAAAGTTTTAAATACTTACTAAAATTTAACAATAAGTTATTTATACAATTATTTAAAATAAGTGTGTATATTTTGTTGTAATACAACTTCTAATTAGCATGACTTTGTTCCTATCTAAATAAATATATATAGATTTAAAGAGAAAAAAAAACTATATCTTTGGTAATTTTAAAATTACAATACATAACAAATAAATTAGTTGGAAGAAATAAATGATCAAATCATATGTTTAAAGAGATATATCTATATATCTATCTATCTATCTATCTATATATATATATAGATAGAAAAATAGTCAATTGTGTATTATCTATTATATGCATTTTTTACACATTAATTGAAATTACAAAAAATACCAAAGAAAAAAAATATTGTAGGAGGAAATTATAGATTGTAAAAAATATAATAAAATCTAAAAAAAACTTATATGTTGTTGATAATAAAATATAGAAGTTGATACTTATTATTAAGAGTTGTACCCCCTTATCCCCCATTCTTGTTTCTAGCATACATCCTTTGTTTTAATCCCTCCATCTCCTCCTACCATTCTTAACCCTCAGCGGTCATTCCCATTCCCATCCCGCGTCCTCCATCACAACCCCCTTGTTTCCATTCTCATCTTCTATTCTGACTTATCTCTCTCCTGTTTCCATCTTTTATCCCAAAATACCTTTGTCATTTCTTACATTGTGAACCATTGTTCTTTGGTTTGTTTATCATAAGAGGCAACCCCACCCCCCCCCCCTCTCCCTGACCCAATGGCTTGCACTTTTATCTTTAATGCAATTTTTATTCCAGTTTTTATCTTCAATACGCTTCTCTTTTGGCCTTCTTTGTACCTTGTAATACTTTCATGTTTTTTTGAGATTTATTTAATATTTATTTAAAAATATAATTTAATTCTTTTGGATGCATGTTTTATTGAAAAAATTATTAAATCTATTATCTATGTATTTCCTAATGGCAAATGTGTATACAAACAAAAGTATATGCATTTAATAATTTAAGAATCTATATGCTGGTATTTATATACATTTAAATGTTTTATAACAAAAGGGGAAATATATATATATATATATATATATATATATATATAAAATACAAAATCCAAAATGAAAAAAAGAAAAGTAACAATGATTGTAGTTGAGCCAATCCAAAACAACCATTTGTAGTTAAGAAGAAGGTGTTAAGAATTTTTAAAGGGATAGACCTAATAATATTTTAGTGGAATCTAGCACATCAAAGAGAAGAAGTATATGGAAAGTAATCCAACAATAAAAGTTAAATTTCTTCTTAAAAAAGAATGTTCTCAATAGTATGGTCATTTACATCCATGTTGGTTGATGCATATATAATCAATCAAAGTTACATTTATTCAAGAACATATAAGTCAATATTCACAATATCATCTGAAAATATATGATTGTAACAAAGAATAAATACACATATGGCATTGTAAACTTATAAAGGATTTGATATTTTAAAGAATTGTATTTACACTTGTTGACAAAAATCACCTTCACATAGTACTAAAATATTAAACACTTGTTGTTGTATTGCTAAAGATGCCAAAGATGTTATTTAAGATTAGTATTATTATTGTTATTTTATCTCAACTTTAAAACGCATTCACATCTTGTGTTTTTTCTAATAGAACACTAAGAATTAAATCTCTATGTTACATAAATATCACAATGATTCTATTTTATTACTATACACAAATGGGAACAAGAGATGAGGGAGTTGGGACAAGGGACAAGGGGTAGGAAATACAATAATGGTTTTGATGGGTGGGTTGATTTAACCAATGCTAGGATCAATTTAACATTCTCCTATCCATATATCTATATATATATATTTCCCAAAAATATTGACATCTTTAATCATGAAGTCAATTTTTTTTTAGCAATTTAGAGCCTTATGGAGACTCCTCTAAAATGACATGAGTTCTTATTTCAAACATGAGGTTCAATCAATACCTATTTAAAGTTTATTTTTAGTGATATTTTTCCAAACCCAAAATACAAGAATGATTAATTGTTGATCACAAAATATTGTGAACCAATTATAAACATCGAATAACAAACATACCATCATCCTACTTGACACTCACAATCAAGTATTAAGGTTTTGAAACATACACATTACAGAATCAAGTCTCCCCTACATTAGAATTCTAATGAACTTAAGAACATAAAATTGGATAGGGTGTTTAATTGAATTCCTTGGATTGCACATATTACGTTGTACAGATTTTTGTTGTGAACACAGTTCCCAATGAAAGGAACTTGCCGTCGTCTTCCTGGGAATCGCCGCAGGATTAGGGCTTGCTTAGGCGAAACAGAGTAAGACATGGAATTTCACTTTAACTTTGTCTAAATGAGTCAATCTGTTCGCCTGCTCTTCAATCCCATATCCTCCAATGCTGTAGCAATTGCTTGCGATGGTGGTCGTCATCAGAGCATTATCTCACGCAGTCCATGTATTGCTCATTCTGCTTTTGTTGCTCCGGAGAGCAGCATAACAATGAGGTGGCTCATTGTGTTTTACGGTTGCCCTAATTTGATCGCAGGACCTGAAATGAAATAATTGTTGTTCCTAAACGCTCATTATCATCAACTATCCTTGTTATTGCCGTGGGTGTAGATATGGCTCATGACCATCGCATAATATAAGCTGCGGATGTTAAAGCAGGTTGCTGTTAACCGTGCTTCATTAGGTGCGAAAAGGCCCGGACGTGGTGGAGGACTATAGTGCACTATCTTTCATGTTATGCGTTGGATCTGCTTAGCAATGGCGCTCGCGTGGGTGCATCGTTAAAGATTGGACAAAACCACGAGTCTTGTCGATCCAAGAGCGTTTTGACTCATGAGATGCGTCCTAAATGTGGTGCAATGTTGCCAACGCTAGGATTGCCAATTCATTGAGCAATTTTCTACAGCAGCCTGCCACAACTCCTCGTTCAGAAGGTTTGACCAGAAACAAGAGAAGCGCATTTCATACATTCTTCCGATTTCATTATTTCAATTGGCCGAGAAATGAAGGAAGGTGCGTTGTCTCGTGCGACTTAAAAACTCCCGAGCTCGGCGGCGAGCTGGGCTCGATCGGTAATCTGCAAGTATTAGGCACAGAATGAGCTTAGCAGATTTCTCTGGAGGTCTTGCTTTTGTGCTGTTTTTGGTTGCTCTTATAGAAGAACGTCCTTCGTGGTTTGAAAGTTGGAGAAGCCGCAGCTCGACCTTTCCAAGCTATCTGCTTTGTCAGCGTTGATTCAAAAGCAGTGAAATTTTTTCTTTGAATTCATGTGCCTTGTATATTGGTGAATATGCCGGAATAATAACTCCATTCAATTCCCCATTTACTAGTGCTAATAATTGAATCTCTTCCACAGACATTGTTCAGGAGCAAGATGTCAACACCAAAACTGTAATAAAGCATACTTGGAAGTGAAGTTATGCAACTCGAGGGAGCTTTTATTGAGAGAAAATTACAGCAACTCTGATGTGCCAGGGCTGGGAGCCACAGAGAGCTTGGATAGTGTGAAGCACTAGAAAGTTTTTATTCCAGATGTGGTCAGCTTAAGTTGTGACACTCATTGCTGCATAAACTTATCAATTGCAGCATGCGTCCTTGATAACAGGTTGGTAATTTTACTAACCTGAAGTGCACTCCATTAATAGCTGGCACACGGGATTGATTTCTAAACGTATTGATGAATTCCACACAGATTGCGGGCAGAAATCCGCATCCAAGACAAGTTAAGCTATCTTCCATTCAGCACATCTCAAGAGAAGATAAAGAAGAATGCCACTACACAGTCCACATCCTTACTAAATGTTCTGATATGTGCCTTGGTAGTTACCGGTACTGATGTCTGCCGGCAACTGTTGGATGGGTGCCACCTCGATGGTGGTGCTTTTCGCCTTGTACCTCATCATATTAGGATTCTTTGTTGGTAATGTAGTCTGAGCTTTATCGATGTGACTCCTCACTCCCATCCATGACCCAGTGCGCCTAGGATCAACAGGTGTATGCACTCACACATCTGTGATTTGGGGTATGTCTCCACCAGGCTTTGCAATGACTGTAAGATCCTTATTGAAAGCAGACTTGAAAGCTGTCTTGGTGATTTTGACATTAGTAGCACAATGGTGAATCCCTCTGTTGCCCTGCAGAGCTCATAAATATCTCAGGATGAGATCAAAGCTTCACCAACCCTTCAACCATTAGTCAAAAGGTGACAGAAGCACTGACATCACTCAGCCGCCTAGTTGACTTTGGTAATGTGCAATGTGTTTTGTTTCAGCTTGTTCACTATATTTCAATTGTTGCTTTTGGTACGACAGAGATTCACATGCACTCTCATAATAGTATATGTGAAAACAAGTGTAGGATGTTTTTGTTTGTCCATCATGGGGGAGAAGTTGATGTCCCATTGCTCCATGACACAGTCTATCTAAAAAAGCTCAACCTGTTTGGAAACACCCAGTGCTTTACTTCATGAATAGGGCACATGATGGGAAAGGAAGGCTCATTATTGAGCCAGTCCATCCCCCCTCTTCCTGCTTAGTTACAGCCCTGGCAATGTGTGCAGCTTTACAAAATAAATAAAAGCAACTCATGACATTTCAGATGCAAACTTTGGTGTGAAATCATAGCTTTGCATTGAACATCCCTCCCAAAACATTTTGGTCTTTATTATGCAGAATCTGCTTATGTACAGTATGGAGGTAATGTAATGACTTCTATTTCAATGGGGAAGTATGGTGCAACTGACAAGTACTTTTGCAATATGGGCAAGTCTTGTAGACTATGGCCAAGTGTTGGGGAAACTCACCCTCAACAATCTAGACAAACTAGCTGACTGGCAAAGAACCACTCTGTAATTGAGATAGAGCATGGATGGCCAAGAATCTTCTAAGCTTTAAGTAGAGAAACCCCATAGTGTGGAGTCCATTTTTTTCTTCTCATAGTGGCACAATTCTGCATATTAGTTCAGCAACTAACACACAGTAACATATAGCCCATTCCTAAAGTTAATGCTTCACTGGCCCCCCAGCCTTCTGGATCTCAGGTTCTTGAATGTCATGTACTTACTCCCCACTAATCAATGCACTTTGTCAAAAAAAAAAAAAAAAAAAAAAAACGAAAGAAAGAAAGAAAGTAGGAAGGAAGAGAAGCTCAAAGAAGGAGAAGTAAAGGAATAAACAAGCACATTTCTGAATGCATGATTTGCTCAACATAAATTAAGATATAGCATCTGCACACTGTTACTCCTTATTCATAAATATCCCAGTAATCTGGCACAGGGGATGCTTTGATTCTTTAGTTCATTAACAGCATAATTCCACATGCAACAATTGACTTTGGTACATATCACATGGTCACCACCTTCATTGACATTATTTGACCAATTTCTTTCCATGAAAACAACAACAATGACATTGAGATATATCATGTTTTACAGTAATTATTTTTGTTGATATGTTAAGCAACTTGACCACTTCATTCCCTGCTGTAAGCATGAGACAAGGCAGCTGCCATTCCATGTTGTGGAGAATCAGGAAAAGGAACAATGAGTGCCTGGAACTCAGAAGCATGGGGCTTGTGTCCTGGTTCAGCTGACAGGGCTGCAGGTGTAGAACATAAGGCTGCATCCCAAGTGGATGAACAATATTTTTCTCACCTTATCTGCAACCAAGACTGGGACTATGAATGGGTTGAAATGCCTCTAGCTTGTAACGAATGCACTCACATTAGTCATTCATGTTATTTTATAATATGTTATTTAAAGAAAAATATTGAAACAATGTAGTTAAGTATGAAATTGTGGTGTTAAATAAATTCTTTCCCATTAGCTAGGATGATACTGATCTCTGCCAGTCCTACAGTCAAAAAGAGGTTGCTGTGCATGAAAGGAAAGACAACAGAGCTCCACTCTGGGATGCAGAGGTGATCACTGCCAGCAAGTTGTAGCACATTTACTCACTCAGATGGTAGCCTTTTGTAATCACATTCCAATATGGTCACACAAAATATTATTGTAAACACAAAATAATTCTAGGAACACACCTTTTTGTAACATGGTTGGATTTCTATCAGGGATTTAGGGCCTCCTTCCATGCTCAATGGGTGAGCAATATTATTCTTGGACTTTGCCTGCATCCAGTGATCTCCTCAAGGCAAAATCCACCCAATTTCAAAATTTACAATTCCATGTGTAAGGGAGTAAACCACTTGATGACCTTTCATAGGAGGTCATAAAACGATTTTGGCACTTAAAATATTACTAAAAGTATTTCTTTTAATATTAGATTCTAGAGTTCCATTTCCTAATTCAAAAATATTGGGCATAAAATTAGGAAAAGTTAGAGGACTTAGGGCTTCTACTTAGACTACTCTTATCACAAATAATCAAAATAGTATAACTACAATCACTCTCTTAAAAGATTTCTATAATGTTTTAAAATCTTACAGACATCTATATCACAATTTATAGATACTTAGAAACCTTTAGATTTTTTCAATATTTTTTGAAAGATTTTTGTAATGTTTTTTTAAATCCTTTGTCATGGAGGAACTCCTACAAAAGTTTCTTTAGACTCCTGATATATTATAAAGATTTTAAACCTCTCCTAAAATCTTCCACAAGACCTAAATGCTATATTATTAATAAAAAAAATACCAAGATGTATATCTTAGTCTTTCCAATATAAAGTTTGGAGAAATTTAAATATTGTTAGGTGTTCAATCTAGAATCTTTTTATCCTTTGCCAATCTATCATCAATAATTTGGTAAGATGACTATTGTTTTACAAAAATTTATGTATTTTTTATAAAAAAATTAAAACTAGTAGATCCTCTAACTTCTTAGAAAATACTATTATATCTTAAAGATTTTTGATTGCCAACATTTAAATTAATATTTGTCTTACAATACTAGTTTCTTTCATTTTTTAATTTATTTTTTAATTTTAATTATTCATCTTATCAATAATATTAAATTTTACCAATATATATTCTACTTAATAGAATAGATATAGGTAGAATTAAATTGGATATATAATATATTCTTTAAGAAATATCAAGAAAGCTCTTTAGACATAGATTAAAGTTATAGGTGCATCATATTAGTATAAGAATTTCTTTGATTTTTTTTTTTTTTTTTTATTATTATTTCTATAAGAATTAAATAAAAATATTATTAACTTAAACACTTATTTAGTATGTCTTTTGATCTATAAAAATATTCTACATGACTTCTTGCTAACTATAATATATATATATATATATATAGATGTAATATTAAAATCATATATACAAACTCATTATTTTCTTTATTATATTTAAGTCTTTGCTCTGGGTTTAGTTTATTTTTATTTTTTTTTCTTTATATTAAAAAATATTTTAATATCTCTTAACTTTACAATATGACTATTTTGGTGTTTTTTCTTCTTTCTTACAAATACATTTCTATATTATCCATTTAAAAGAATATTTAGATTTTAGTTATTAAAATTATAGAAATCTCTTATATTACATATATACATACATACATACATGTGTATCTCAAGATTTACTTGCAATATCATCAGTTTCTTTTCTAGAAATAATAAATTTAATGGCTCCAATGCTTATCTTTGTAGAAGTGTAATTGTACATAGATGTTATTTTAGACCTTTGAAAAAGAAACTTTCTATTTATTTATTTACTAATTTTTTTGATTTTTATTTTGATTTATTATAATTAAAATAAAAGTGTATTCAATGTAGAAAACAAGTCCATAGGTAAGAGCAACAAAGAGTCGAAAGAAATAAAATTAAGAGTAATATTGTGAAAAAAAAATCTTTAAATAATAAAATTTTAAAAGTTATTATATATATATATATATATATATATATATATATATATAAAATAAATAATATATAATCTAAAATATTTTTTTAATATTTTTATCTTAATTTTAAGTAAGAAAAAATTTACATCAAATCTAAATATTTAATGGACTAATTCATTTAACTAAGTTCTTTTAGACATTCTTTTCTATTTTATTTTTTGGTTTCATCTTTTCTAAATATTTAACATTTTATATTATTCATCTATTTTTTCATATTATAAATCTCTTAATTTTATTAGTAATAGTATTTTTTTATAATTCAGATAATAAATCAATAAATTCTTAGTATTGAATTACCTAAGTTTTATAAAGAGGTAATGTATCACTTAGTTAATAATTTTTTTTGTTATAAGTTTTAAGAAATAAATATGATTTTTTATAATATTTCTATTCTATTAATCCTTGATTGCATTCAAATCAATTTTTTTATTTATTTTTAATCTATGACCACACTACTTATTCTTATTAAACTTACAAATATCTTAAAAATAATTTAATTATGCTTCCATTAATGTATTAATTATAATATTATCTAAAGTAATCATAATATATTATTAGTCAATTAAAGCCTAAAAACCAAAAACATGCAAAAACCTTAATAATATAAATTTTATGTCTTTATTTTTTTGTTTTTTTGTTTTTTTTTTAATCAATGGAAAGAATATCAAGTTTGAATAGTAGATATTAAGGATATAAAGTAGTATAAAATTCTAAAAATGACAATCACTCTTATACCATCAAAAGAAAGAAAGTAAATAAATAAAAGATAGAAATAGAATTAAAACTAGAATGACTACAGGCAATGAAAAAAGACCAAGAATCCTTGAATCATAATAAAACATAAGATAGACAATGACAAGAATGAAGAAGGCCTCACTCTTACCTCCATATGTACTATCTATTAAAAATCTACATGGCAATGTCATATGAGCGATAAGATATGCGTCCAACTTGCAAAGCATGCATCTAATTTGTAGGATAAGTTTTTTTATGTATACACCATATATCCAACTTGTAATACAAGAGGGTAAATGTACAATAAGTGGCTAAGTTTTTGGCCAATTCGTCAACCTATTAGTCACTTATAAACATGTATAGAGTCTATAAAGTTTTTGGAAAGCTTCTTAAGAAAATATCAACAATTTAATCTACTTCTATTTACTTCTACCTATTTCTACTTATTCAAGTAAATATACTAGTGAATATGACTATCTATCACAATATAAGTGTTACATTGCAATATTCAAGAAGAAGAAAGAATACAATACTTCTATTTTTTGTTTAAATTTGTAGTAGAATCTATTATAGACATCTATCTAGAAAGAATTCTAAAAATTTCTTAAAGATTTTCAAGGTTTCTTTACATTAAAATTACTAAAAAAAAATTGTAAGATGACTTGAAGACAAAGCCTTTTACAAGAATCTATATGGAAGCTTCTTAGTTCTTAGTATATATAAGTGTCAAGGTTGACAATTCTTTTGTCTTGCCAATACATGTCTTGTGGTCTATTTTGGACCTTATAATGTTATTTTTGCTCTTATATTGGATTCCCTAAATAGAACGTATATATATTCTATATTTTATTATAAAAAATTAACCTTGAAATCCTTTTGAATATATGGAAAATTCAAGAAAAGAACACTAAGGAATAATGAAGTAAATATTTCTTTATTTAAATGACACCATAAATTTTTGTATTATATTTTTTGTAATATATAAAAGAAAAAAGAATCACAAATTTTTTTAAGTCAAATTTTCTAAAAATTTAGTTCAAAGAAGATTAACTATATATGATATCTTTATAATAATTAGTGGAGCTTTTTATTGGAGGTCTATTTTACAATCTACTTCAATAATTTTATTTAATTGAATTAATGTGTATGTTTCTTGTAAAACCAACTAAAAAAATAATATGGTAATATAGAATTGTAGGTGAATTTGATTTAGTATAAGATCAAAATTTATTATATTACAACAATTAAAATACTATAAATTTCGTAAAGATTTAAGAATATTATTTAAAAAATAATATATAGATGTTAGAAATTATTATATATAAGATATCTTGTAGATAATATAGTCTATTTCAAAAATGTTGATACAAAAGTGAATATAATAGATATGTTAACATAACTATTAATGTTTAAAAATTTTAAGTTTTGTTTGAGTTTTTAAAGTATAAAATGTATTAAATAAATTAATATATATTAATTTTTGGTATATAAAAACTAAATGCTCAATTTTACTTATTTATAATTTTTTTTAAGCTAGATAGAAATTATTATAGTAATATCTTATATTTTTTTATTATATTTATTTATATATATATATTAATACTAGTTTATAGAATTTTTATTAAATTTTTTCTTTCTTTACTCACAATTACTTCTTTGTTGCTCTTATTTGCATTATATCTTTCTTCATAGTTTGCCAAAACTATTTACCTATTTCTCTTATTTTCATTATACATTTCTTTGGATCTTACAACAATTATTTGTTTTTTGCCTACCTTTGATTTTAATTGTAGTGTTTTCTTACCTTAATAGTTCATCTTGCTTGGCAACTTCATCCCTTCTCTTTTTTCACCAGTTTTATTATATTAGTGTCTTTTTAAAATTTAGTTCATTGATTATCTTATTTTTTCTTAATTTTTCTTTTCTTCTTTGATTTGCCTATGCATCTTAGCTCTTTTTTATATTACAATTTTGCTTCAAATCAATTGTTTTTTATGTTTATTTTTTGTTTGTAACCTTTGCTTCCTTCCTACCTTCTTTGTGCAAGATGTGCAAATCCAACTTGTACAATAGAGCCCATGCAAATTCTTTACTTCAATCCTACTTCTAATACAAACAATGCTTATGATTAGTATTTTATTGTACAAACAAATTTCCAAAAACAACTAAATAGCTTGCAAGTTTTTAAAGGCTCTTAGAACAAATATAGAGTTTGTGCATGATGCACAAATCCAACTTGTACAATAGAAACAACATTAATGTTTTTACCAAGACAAAGAATGCTACCTTAAAGCATGTAAGCAATTTGAAGAGTGGTTTTGACAAGCTTTAATAGGTGTAATAAGACAACCACTTTTACATATAAGACAATTTTAGATATCAATGCTCAAGTTTCTAATATTTAAGCATTATTTAAAAAAATAAATTTGGCTTTATTATAAATATTTATTTCTACACCAATATATATATATATATATATATATATATATATATATATAGAATATTTTTAAAAATTATACCTCAAATTCTCTTGAAAAAAGTTAATAAAATGTTATTTTAAATGTATTATCAAAAACATATTATGTAATAGTTTTATTGATATATATATATATATATATATATAACATAAAAAAAATAATGAAACATCTTTAAAAAAATCTCATTTAAATTATATTATTTTATAATTTTTAGTCATCATTTAATCCAATAAATAATATATATTTATACAAAATTTAGAATAAATTACTTTAAGAAAACATACATCTGTTTTATAAATGCTAGTTATAAATTGAGTTAAAATTTTATTAAATAAATAATAATTATATTCTTTTATAATTTTAAAACCAAATATAATATAAAATTAAAATAATACATATAAATGAACTCTAAAAATAAGTGTTTTTGTAAGGTTAAAAACTTAGTTGTGTTTGATATTTTTAAAATGATTTTATGTTGTCTTGTATAAATATTTTTTTTATTAATTTTTATTCATCTACTTTTCATGCTTAAATTTGATTTTTGGAAAGTAAATTTAATTAATACCATTTAGTTATCTCTTCTATTCTATTCTATTGTATTATCTGTCTACTTTGCCAAAAATCCCAGTTATGAGCATATTAGATTTAAAAAACACATATTTACAATTTTGATATTAAGATATGATTTCAAAATGTAACATAAATAGCTTATTTAAAAAAACATGCACCAAATGATATTTTTAAAACTTTCAGAGTTAAACTCTCCAAATTATACTCTGTATGATTTTACTATAATCCAAGTGTAGGTTTTAATGTCCTCTTCGAATAAGCTTAATTGATTTTGATTTTGATTTTTTAATTTTTTTCAAATATACCTCACCTATTTCTTTTTCTACTCAAATAATTTTACACTAATTCAGAAAGGAAAAAAAAAAGAAGAAGCTGTGGAGAGTTACTGGTTCATGAAAAATACTAATAAAAAACCAAGGATATTAACGTTGTCTATGCTCTAATACTGTGAACATAAGAATGCACGGATACCAATTTGATATAGAGTAAACCACAAAGAAACATTCCTAAGCATTTAATCAACTGCATTCTAAAGTTTTGCGAATAATTTTCTGCAATTTTCAGGATGAGCAAAGCTAAGAGCACACAGCACTACACTGATTAAAGTCAGTATCACTGTAGTAATCCAGTGCAAGAGTCTGTGGTTCGAAAAAGCATATTTATCTAAACAGAAGAAAACCCACATACTTACAGATCTACTCCTGCAAACAAAGAAACACACAAATGATAGCTGAATGAAAGGAATAGCACGAAGAGAGTGTCTCATACATTGCATCATGAATATTGAGAAGGCTAGAACGTGGGAGTTCTAATCGTTTCAGAAGCGACAATGCAAAGAGTACTGAATTAACAGATTTAATAGTGACAGCTTCTGCAGGATTCCACTGCAAAAGGGGTGGCAGTGACAACGGCCAGCCTCGCCGTCAGAGACACAAATCAGGGACCTTCAAGCTACAAAACCCAGGTGCGGAATCTGACCGCACAGGTTCATGCTCATGGACACAAGCGATGTCGATCCAACCCCGTCGCAGGGTCGCCTGCAACACGCCCAGCAACGATAAGCCAAAGCGTGTGAATCTCCTTCACGACGGATTCCTTCCCCGAACCATTGTCTTTGTTTTAGTGGCACCAGCATTTTGAGTCGTCCCCGCTGCATGGCAGTCCCTGAAGGATGGATGCGTGTGTCTAGCTCCGTTGAAATGACGACGCGGCGAAGTCTCATGGTAGGTGTGTGTGTGTGTGTCATGGCAGGAGTCTCAGATCAGCAGTGCCATGCGTGGTCGTCGTACAGTCCTCCCCCAGGTATAGTAACGTTGGGGGATCAGTAGCAGGCAGATGGGTTACCAGTGGATTCAGTACATGGCTTATGAGCTCATGAGTTTGCTGAAGGGAACCCAGTTGCTTCATGAGAGGGTACTGTCTTGAGTCGCATCCGGTCAATGTGGAGGATGAACTCTTATTATATCAGTGGGTCAGATTGTACTCAGTCGTCTCACCCCTGTGGGTCTCGTTTTCTGGAGATATCTTTAGAGGTTTCTGCGAAATTAAAGTCTCCAGGTGAAGGCTTGATTGTGTGATTATATTGAGTAACGGGCGTTGACGCGATGGCTTAGGTTCTGTAATTGAAGAGCTTTGGAGTTGGGAGTCAAGAGCTGCTACAGGTCGCTGTGGGGAAGATTTCTGCCTTTGGGGATACTCTTAGTTTTGAGGTAGGATTTCAGGGTTGGTGGTCGGCGTGGTCTCAGCGTTTCCTGCTCCCTTGAAAGTATGGAAGCAGTTGGAAGAAGACCGTGTGGTTTCGGAAAACTTGATGTTCTTGGGCGCCTCACCGTGTTGTTGCTGTGTGCTGTGCTGATATCGTGCCAACAGCTCTCTGCAGGCGGAAATAGAGGTAGCATTGCATTCCCTCCAAGTGAATTCGGTTGCCTTGTACTCATGATGAACGTATTCTTAGGCAGGGTGTGAGCAGCAATGTCTGTCGCTTCCTAGAAAAAGTTTCGAGGATAGTGTATATATTTATATATATATTTTCATTTCAAACAGTTTTTTAAATAGACATGCGCTCTGAGCATGGTCGCGAAATGGCTGAGAGATAATCAATCCTTCCACTATTCCGTTGGTCTCTCAATGCGCGCGAGTTGCGACTGGCAGGGTCCACATACAGAATGGAGAATCATGTAATGGGCATAAACTACGGCCGCATTGCCAACGACTTACCAGCACCTGACGAAGCCATCCAGCAAATCAGGACCATGAAAATAGGTCGGGTTAAGATTTTCAATTCTGATGCCACAGTTCTTAGCGCGCTCGCCAACACCGGTCTAGAAGTTGTCAGTGGTCTGCCTAATGAAGACATTCCCAGCGTTGCGCAGAGCCAGTGGGCAGCGGATCAGTGGGTGAAGAAAAATGTCCTATCTTACTATCCTGCAACAAACATTGTATCAATTGTCGTCGGCAACGAGCTCTTCTCCTACCCCTCTATGAAGTCCACTTGGGACAAGCTCATACCGGCAATCAACAATCTCCATACAAGCCTGGCTAAGAATAAACTGACGGACCATATCAAGCTCTCCACCGCGGTGGCCCTTGACGTCTTAGCTTCGTCCTATCCACCCTCTGGCGGCGCTTTCAAAGAGGAACTCGTCGGCCCCTATTTGAAGCCCCTGTTGAAGTACCTCTACAACTCCCAGTCGCACTTATACGTCAATGTGTACCCCTACTTCGCCTGGGCAAGCGATCCCGACCACATCCCCCTCAATTATGCGCTTTTCGGAGCCTCAACTCCTGGGGTCGTCGACAATGGAAAGGCATACTACAACTTGTTGGATAGTCAGCTGGATGCTGTCAATGCGGCGACGGAGAAGGTTGGGTATGGTCAAGTGCGGCTGGCACTCAGCGAGACGGGCTGGCCCTCAGCAGGTGATGCAAACCAACTGGGATGCAACCTCGCAAACGCCGCAACCTACAACCGACGACTTGTCAGGAAAATGGTGTCGACTTCGAAAGTTGGCACTCCATTGAAGCCCGGAGTCTATATTCCTACCTTCATCTTCGCGCTCTTCAACGAAAACCAGAAGACAGGACAAGGTACAGAAAAACACTGGGGTCTTTTATATCCAAACGGAACCAACGTCTACAGCATTGACATGACTGGCACTCTCTCGGACGGTCAGTACACCCCTCTATCAGATAATCCCATCTTCACCACCGCTCCTCCTCCCACATTACCCCCAGGCAACGTTCCTTCAACGACTGGAACCTGGTGCGTAGCCAAGCCTGGAATGAACCCACCGATGCTTCAGGCGGCTCTCGACTTCGCTTGCGGCCCAGGCGGTGCGGATTGCCAGCCATTGCAAGTCGGAGGCTCCTGCTACAATCCTGACACCATCCTCGACCACTCTTCATACGCTTTCAACAGTTACTACCAGAGGACGAAGGCAGCAGGAGGCTCCTGCAACTTTGGTGGTGCCGCTACGCTCACCACCACCGATCCAAGTAAGTTGGCAACTTAAGCTTTCAATACCTTCATGTTGACATGGCCATAACCTCAGGAAGTGGTGGAGAGTGGAGTGGCAGAATGCGATTGCTATCTCTTGTTCCAACGCATTTTTCGTGCTGTACACTCGCCCCATCCCTGCTTTGTCCTTAACGAGGCTGAGGTTAAATCTTGCTTTGCTCTGGTTCACCATCTGTAGTAAAATTTCTCCAGCAGAAGATTGAAGATTGAAGTCCTGACATTTTTTCTCAATTAGTGCACATTCTATTAAACAGGATGTTGCGACAGTACTGGGATTTCTTCGTTCATGTTCATTGATGCTAATGGTTATTACGTGGTGATGAAAAACTCAGCAAATTCCTTTGAACTTGTGTTTACAGGTCATGACACCTGCAAGTTTCCGACAAGTTGAATGATTTGGCTGAATTTGCACCAGGAGTGCGACCATGCTCTCGAATGGATGCCGTTACGACAGATGAACATATGCTGAGAGTACTCATGTATAGTTTGAAAGAGAGTCTCTCCAAAATGTGGTCATTCAGTGAGGTATTTGCAAATTCTTCCCAGTAGAAAGTAGTGCTAGCTATTAGTCTTAGGCGCTGAGGAAGTCATTAACATGTTTGGTTGTACCGTAGTCTTGCATCAACCCGATGATTCTATCCTTTGGGAACTCATGAATCCTGTAGATATTATTAAGATAACAGGGTTTGTTGAAGATAAGTGGGGCCTCTCAAATGGGCGCAGATTTGTGATTCATTAGGATGTAAAGCAAATTTGGCTTGCTCCATGTCTTGCTCTTTTATCCTTCTTTCAGGTCAACTCATTAAACACAATGCCTTCACGGATTGGGAGAAGGTTTCTCACCATAGGACCGGCTTATGCAACTGTGTTGAAGTCGTCTGTACTTTGTCATCAATGGATCTTATTCTGACGGTGTTGACATCAAAGTACACCCCTTTTGAAGGTCTGCTCGAATCCGAGCTTCATTTATGAGAGAAATCAACAAAAAATATATAATAACATACTTACTTACTACCTGCGATTGTTGAGTCCCAAGTATAAATATAATTAGTTTCATGCTAGAAGCCAAGTGCCCGGCCATAATTCCCAAATCTCAATTCTACTCTACAGTAATCGTCTACCTGGATGATGAGTAGGGATGAATGCCTCAACACTCTCCCTCACTACAAAAGCATCTACGAGCTTTAACAAAGATGACTATTGACCTATGAGTCCTAATTTTATATTATAGAATGTATTCGACTGCTTCTTGTAGAGCAACGATAGTACACAAGAAAATTTATTTTAATGGAAGTTGTAGAGTTTATTGTGGGAGTTCTTCCTTTTGTGGTTACAAGTTTCTTTCCTCAATTCTTTTGGTTTTTCTCTTGTGATATTCTTTGTTGATTCATCATATTTGCTTTGATGTCTGTAACCATAGAGTGAGTGTGGCAAGGTGTCTTGTGAAGATGAAAGCAAGGCTTTATTAAGTGTAAGAAGAAGATCCAAGAAATTTCTTTGGAAGGTCAAAGTAAGCAGTTTTTTGAAGTTGATTCTTAGGAATTCTGTAATTTTGTTGAGTTGTTGTATTACAATAAAGCTCTTTTATTTTTTAAGAATGATGTTACTAAGTTAAGTAATAGTATTGTAAATCAAGATTTTTTTTATTGTTCAATTGACATATGTTTAATCAACTATTGCTTCTATTTTGATTCATATAAATGCAAAGATTTCAAAAGAGCCAGCAAGTATTAAGTTGAGATTTGGGATGTTGTAAGTGACTTTGTTTCAAAAGAAGCTATTATCTAAGCTACTATCTAAGAAATTGTTGAAGAAGTTTGGATTGTAGCTTTCTATTTGTATAAGGTGCTAGTAGAGCTCTTGCATAAGATGATAACTTTAAATTTAGTTGATTATCTTAAAACTACTGATGAACTATTTCAATTATTTTAATTACTAAGGTTGGTGTCTTGAGCTTAAAAAGGTTGGTTGATAGGGATGGAATTAATCCTGAAACAATGAAATTAAAAGAAACTAATGTTTAGTATTCCATATGTATAATTACAAAATCAAATCTGTTGATTGATGCTTATTGCTATGAATAAAGGCTAAAAAAGAGAAGGCATAGTAGTGTAGTTATTTCTAATTTTTATGATTGTGCCTCTCGAATAAAAATGATATTTAGTCTTGCTCTAAATTTCTCAAATAAATCTCACTTTTAAGATTTGGTGAACATTATAATCACTTGCTTTAGAAAAGATACATAAATCAAGTATATTTTTATTTTTTTAATCTTTTCCTTAATAAAATGGTGATGCTTGGCTATCTATTTTATGCATGAATTGATATTTGAATTTATTGTTAGACACAATACTTGTGATCTTATTATAAAATAACTAATAATTCAAATTAAGTAGGTGACATCTAATTGTAAGTTGCCAAGCTATATGAGCTTACCAACTATGAACTAATAGTAGATTGGATCTAATATATCTTTATGCATGTGAAGTGTCAACTTAAGTCATTCAACTATTAAAGATATGTTAACATCTTTCAAGGCCAAAGGAAAAAAATCATATGTACAGTATAGCTTTGTTGTATCATAAATAGCCCTTGTGGTAACTTTGAAATAAAGTGTCATGTCACTTTAATTTAGTTTTGACATCTCAAATTTTGACTCAAGTTGTAATTTGAACCATGTGATCTATTTGATGCAATTCTATGAGAAGAGAAGATCATCTACATAGAAGACTAGAAGGATGATTTTTTTCTTGTGATATATTACATAAATATTATAATTTTATTTTATTTTATTTTATTTATAAAGCCTTTTTTATACAAAAAAAAATCAATTTTATTATACTAAGCTTTTAGTACTTATTGCAGGCTATAGAAGGCCTAAAAGAGTTTAAATATTAGATTCTTATAACCTTGATTTACAAATACTTGAGGTTGTATAATATAGATTTTTTTTTTTTTTTTTATTGAAGTTATAGTAAAGAAATATGGCCTTAATATCTATGTAATAAATTTTCTATTTTTGCAAATAAAGCTAGTAATATGTATATGGTGTCTTACTAAAAGAATGGAGCAAAAATCTTCTCATAGTGAAGGCCTTTTTTTGCTCAAAATAACAACTAACAATCATGGTTTTTTTTTTTTTTTTTTTTTTTTTTTTCTTGTAAAGTACCATTGGCCTTTATTTTTGCTTCATAGATCCACTTAATAGAGATTTCTTGGTAAATAGAAAAAAGATGAGTAAGCAACTAAGAGTTATTAGTGTATATTAACTTGATTTTGTCACTCATAGAGTTTTGTTAGCCTTCATCTTGGAATGCTTCTTAAAATGATATTGGCTATATTGATAAATCAAAAAGGCCAAAAAAATAGTCTTAAAGCCAAGTGAGACACTTTGTAATACATCTTGATTGTATCAAGATATCAAGTGTTTTTTGTTGTTTTAAACCATGATTATTGATAGACTGATGTAAATCAAATGTTTTATAAGCATATGATGAGAGATCATTAATGGAATATCTATTGGCTACTCTTCTATTGTGTTGAGATCAATATGGTAAGGAATAAAGTTTTCTTTTTGAGATTTAGTTGAGATCCAATTTGAATAGGTGGATGATCTCATAAATGATGTAGTCGTTGGATTATTTATCTGTGGAAATTTTTGATATATTTTGTCCTAATGAGTTTCTTTCTATGACAAGTAGCAGATTATATTATTTAAGTAATATATGGTCCTTTAATAAGATGGAGCATAAATGAATTATAGAAGTAAAAAGAAAAGTTCAAGTGATTTTGTTATTGTCATTATTAGAGGCTCCTTCAAAATCTGAAATTTGAAGGTAGAATTTCTTGAAATTAATAATAAAAATAGATTTAGCTACATCTATTTTTAAGAATTATATTTTACCAAAGAACATATTTTACATGATTTATATATTTATGTAAGTAGGTAAATAAGCTATATATGCTTTTGAAGTGTCATTTAGTTCAAGGTACACTTTGAGACTAGATTGAGATTGTAATTTGTTTCTTTGTATATGATCTTATTCTACAAAATATAAACAAATAAATACCTTTTTATTGCTAAAATTGGACTTGCTCTTGGTGAAGAGTTCATGAATAATGTGGCCCTGGTTTGTATTAATAGGATTCAAATTCATAAGATGAGCAATGGTTTGAATCGCTTTTATCTAGGAAAAATCAAGCATTATGCTTCCAATAAGCATTGATTTAAGCTTGTTTAATATAGTCAATTTTTTCTTTTAGATATTCTATTTTATTGAAAAATTTGGACTATACTAAATTGCCAAATGATACCACTTTGTTAGAGGTATATTTTAGATTTAGTGAATATAAATTCACTTATTTTATTTGAATTCACATAGAAAATTTGATGTAAGATTTGCTTCTCAATCATAGTGTGGAACCTTTGAAACATATTAACGGATTGATTTTTATAGCTATAAATTAGGTTGATAAATATCTACTAAAATTATCTATAAATAAGATGAAGTGCTTGAAGTGTTTCAAAGATTCTATTGATAGTGGACTACAAACAACAATGTAGATAAGAACCAATGGTTTAGTAGCTCTTGTTAGAGATGCTTTTGATAGTTTTAAATGGATTTATTTACCTTGGCGGCAAGTGAAGCAACTTTGGCTCTTGACATAAAAAGATGGTATTCTTATTACTAAATCCTATAAATTCATCATAAATAAGCTTCTAAAATTGATGTGTCTTAGTCTTTTTTACTATAGAACTATTAGATTATTTAGGATTTTGGTCATACTATTCATTTCAAGTGTTAACTGATCTATTGTAGATGGTTTATGTGGTTGACTACAAATAGTATTATCTATACATTAATTTGATATGAATGATAAGAAATATATTTTAAATTTTTTTTAAGGTATTTTAACTTATAGAATTGAAGTGCTTGATCTTAAGAATATTTGGCTACTACTTGGTGTGATTTTTAAAGAAATATGACAATATATTGTGTGAAGCTAAAGATGCAAAGATTTCTTAATTTTGTTATTTGTCTTGCTGAGAATATGTTTATATAGAGACAAAAAAAAAGCAAATATTCTTTAGGAATTTTATTTCACCATTGAATAAAGATAGGTCAATTGATCCTTAGTTGGCTATTATATAAGAAAGTCTGTCCACAAATGTTATTGTGGTGATGTTTAAGTGATCTACTTTACTAAAGGCCGAGTATTCTCTTGAGAATTATCTAAAAGTATTGTAATCTAAAATCTAATCATTGTTGAGGTGGCTAATTGTAAATTGTTCTAGCACATTAAGGATAACATTGTTACTTGATAGATTTGGTGAATGTGGCTTATTAGAATATTTTTTTGTGAGATTGACTCTAAGATTTAGTATAGTATTAATAATAGTATTATAATTTTCTATTGTATTATAATTATTTTTCTAATTTGTAGCTATTATGTAAATAAATAAGATTATATTGATAGAATATTAGTATAAATGTTGTGTAGAACCAAAAATTATGCCTAAGTTTTTTATATTAATAATAGATGATGGAGCCCATGATGGATTGTTTTCTTGAGTTTTGACAATGTAAATATATTGCAATCTATTAGTTCCATTGTGATTTGATAGATTGATAAGATATATACTTTTTATTAAATTTTCAATTATAAATATTTTAAATTTTCATCATGAAGGCTTCTTTAAAGCATCATGAAGTTTCCTAAGAATGTTGTTTGTCTCTTCTATGTATATCTTATTCCATATCTCTTGTAGACTTGGAGTATTTTTTTTAATTGAATTTATAAGACCTATTTTTCAAACTTACAAGGCAAAAAATTTAGTATAAGG